AGCAGCTACCACGTGACACAATTCAGCCAACCAGAGTACAGGAATCCGCAAAGTTAAAGTTGCAAACTTTTGATCGGCCCGAAAGGGGACTTTTCTGGAGATTTTGAGATAACTCAACAATTACGTTGTCTTGAATTTTCCTCCTGGAGAGGTAACGTTACTTTTAAAAGAGGAACATGTTACAAAAAACCGGAAGTCTCCAACTCTTTTACTTTCAAAGTTAAGCCCCATCCGGTCAGGGTTCCTGGGTGCAGCTGGCTGACGCCGAGTAGGGTGTTTTGGCCGTTCTAACTTAAGACTTTTAAGAATTAAAGCAGCCGTATTGATCTTCCAAACCTACAACTTTCAAGGGCTAGAATTCGCTGTATTTTGCCGTTAAAACACAACTTGTACTGTTTAACTTCATGATTGGGCCGTAATTCAAAAGCAAATTGGCAAGAAGTGGTGCTCACGGTCTCACTTAACGTCACTTATCGCTCAGTTAAGAGCGACCATGGTCTTAAGCGACAGACAGCCTGCAGGCATATGATCCGAATACGAAATATCCTTGTGTTCGGCACTTAGTAGCCCTAATTGGTTACTTCTTACCCAGGAAAAGTTACCGGCTGGTGGTGGTACTAGAGTTGGTTTAATTTAAACAGACGGCTTGACCTCGCGCGCAACAACAAGCATGATTTGCACGCGTGGCGCTTTCCAATGTTCAAGCAGCTACCACGTGACACAATTCAGCCAACCAGAGTACAGGAATCCGCAAAGTTAAAGTTGCAAACTTTTGATCGGCCCGAAAGGGGACTTTTCTGGAGATTTTGAGATAACTCAACAATTACGTTGTCTTGAATTTTCCTCCTGGAGAGGTAACGTTACTTTTAAAAGAGGAACATGTTACAAAAAACCGGAAGTCTCCAACTCTTTTACTTTCAAAGTTAAGCCCCATCCGGTCAGGGTTCCTGGGTGCAGCTGGCTGACGCCGAGTAGGGTGTTTTGGCCGTTCTAACTTAAGACTTTTAAGAATTAAAGCAGCCGTATTGATCTTCCAAACCTACAACTTTCAAGGGCTAGAATTCGCTGTATTTTGCCGTTAAAACACAACTTGTACTGTTTAACTTCATGATTGGGCCGTAATTCAAAAGCAAATTGGCAAGAAGTGGTGCTCACGGTCTCACTTAACGTCACTTACCGCTCAGTTAAGAGCGACCATGGTCTTAAGCGACAGACAGCCTGCAGGCATATGATCCGAATACGAAATATCCTTGTGTTCGGCACTTAGTAGCCCTAATTGGTTACTTCTTACCCAGGAAAAGTTACCGGCTGGTGGTGGTACTAGAGTTGGTTTAATTTAAACAGACGGCTTGACCTCGCGCGCAACAACAAGCATGATTTGCACGCGTGGCGCTTTCCAATGTTCAAGCAGCTACCACGTGACACAATTCAGCCAACCAGAGTACAGGAATCCGCAAAGTTAAAGTTGCAAACTTTTGATCGGCCCGAAAGGGGACTTTTCTGGAGATTTTGAGATAACTCAACAATTACGTTGTCTTGAATTTTCCTCCTGGAGAGGTAACGTTACTTTTAAAAGAGGAACATGTTACAAAAAACCGGAAGTCTCCAACTCTTTTACTTTCAAAGTTAAGCCCCATCCGGTCAGGGTTCCTGGGTGCAGCTGGCTGACGCCGAGTAGGGTGTTTTGGCCGTTCTAACTTAAGACTTTTAAGAATTAAAGCAGCCGTATTGATCTTCCAAACCTACAACTTTCAAGGGCTAGAATTCGCTGTATTTTGCCGTTAAAACACAACTTGTACTGTTTAACTTCATGATTGGGCCGTAATTCAAAAGCAAATTGGCAAGAAGTGGTGCTCACGGTCTCACTTAACGTCACTTATCGCTCAGTTAAGAGCGACCATGGTCTTAAGCGACAGACAGCCTGCAGGCATATGATCCGAATACGAAATATCCTTGTGTTCGGCACTTAGTAGCCCTAATTGGTTACTTCTTACCCAGGAAAAGTTACCGGCTGGTGGTGGTACTAGAGTTGGTTTAATTTAAACAGACGGCTTGACCTCGCGCGCAACAACAAGCATGATTTGCACGCGTGGCGCTTTCCAATGTTCAAGCAGCTACCACGTGACACAATTCAGCCAACCAGAGTACAGGAATCCGCAAAGTTAAAGTTGCAAACTTTTGATCGGCCCGAAAGGGGACTTTTCTGGAGATTTTGAGATAACTCAACAATTACGTTGTCTTGAATTTTCCTCCTGGAGAGGTAACGTTACTTTTAAAAGAGGAACATGTTACAAAAAACCGGAAGTCTCCAACTCTTTTACTTTCAAAGTTAAGCCCCATCCGGTCAGGGTTCCTGGGGACGCCGAGTAGGGTGTTTTGGCCGTTCTAACTTAAGACTTTTAAGAATTAAAGCAGCCGTATTGATCTTCCAAACCTACAACTTTCAAGGGCTAGAATTCGCTGTATTTTGCCGTTAAAACACAACTTGTACTGTTTAACTTCATGATTGGGCCGTAATTCAAAAGCAAATTGGCAAGAAGTGGTGCTCACGGTCTCACTTAACGTCACTTACCGCTCAGTTAAGAGCGACCATGGTCTTAAGCGACAGACAGCCTGCAGGCATATGATCCGAATACGAAATATCCTTGTGTTCGGCACTTAGTAGCCCTAATTGGTTACTTCTTACCCAGGAAAAGTTACCGGCTGGTGGTGGTACTAGAGTTGGTTTAATTTAAACAGACGGCTTGACCTCGCGCGCAACAACAAGCATGATTTGCACGCGTGGCGCTTTCCAATGTTCAAGCAGCTACCACGTGACACAATTCAGCCAACCAGAGTACAGGAATCCGCAAAGTTAAAGTTGCAAACTTTTGATCGGCCCGAAAGGGGACTTTTCTGGAGATTTTGAGATAACTCAACAATTACGTTGTCTTGAATTTTCCTCCTGGAGAGGTAACGTTACTTTTAAAAGAGGAACATGTTACAAAAAACCGGAAGTCTCCAACTCTTTTACTTTCAAAGTTAAGCCCCATCCGGTCAGGGTTCCTGGGATATTTTACGAGTATCACCCGTTAAGCGAATGCGTGGGCGAGATTGCAGCAGTTAGTAGCAGTTTGTGGCAGTTAGTGCCAGTTTGTAGCAGTTAGTAGCAGTTTGTAGCAGTTTGTGGCAGTTTCTTTGCAATTTGCTCCTCGATCCTGTGTAGTACTAGCAAAATGCGCGTTTTGCTCTAAAATACACTCAAACAAATATTTTACAACCGTATTGTCTAAGCTAAAGTCTAAAATGAAGATATTTAAAAAAATTGAGGAGGGGGGCGTGGTTGACGGATGTTACTTGTTTAAATTTCATCGAATTATAGCGCGGCGCGCGCCGCTTTCTTCTCGAAATATTATAGGTAAGTGCTACGAAGTAGCGCGCGCTGAGTTATGATATTAAATATGGACACTGGACAGGGGGCTGCAAAAATATAGCGAGGGGCGGCCCACAGTTACGTACGTTTCGCTACTGCACTGTGCGCGAGCGGACTCGTTTACAAGTTACACACTTCCTCTTAATTAAATTTAAATTTCGTGACTGAAAATATGCCAATTATTGTTGCCAAACCAGTGTAGACCTGATAGGTCGCTACACTATATAAAAGTTAATATGTACTAGCGACCTTTTAGTTAGCTATGCATTGTAGCTCGATGCATTACTGTGCCGCGCCGCGCACTCAATGAGGCTTCTCTTGCTAGATCGGCGAGATGCGCTACTGTGCCGCGCCGAGCTGCGATGAATTGATCTTGTAAATTAAGCTATGTATAACATATAACACGCCATTATATTGTGAAATGTTTTTGCTCTTTTCACATTTGTTTCTCCATCGACACCTGTTCGTTTTCCTTAGATACTAATGGCAGTGCTAAGGTCAAAACACTTTACTGATCGTTATTTTTTAATCCGTGAGAAGGAACTCTGGTCAAAGATGTGGTATTTTGTAAGGGCATTCTTCAGTGCAGCTGCATGTATTGAAAACAGAATCATCATTGTTGTTGGTAGAGTTCATCTCGTTGGTCTTCTTGGATTGAGAATGTGTCAATATGAACACGAGCTATTGTTTCTTTTTATACAAACTATACAAACTGGCTCGTCATAACAAGGTTTTCGTTTCGGCAAGGACCATAACATCACTGACAAGGTTAATGAGATCCATTGTTTTTCTCAAGAAAAAATTGTCTTTTCTCATTGATTTCTCCACATCACTGACAAGGCCAGATTAATGAGATCAACATATGTTTAAGATGATCATGTGACACGTCAGAGGCGGCTCGTGGGAGCTGGCTGGCAGTTGTGTTTGGTGTCCAATCGACGGACTCAGGGGGCTTGGGGATGGCCCCCACTCCAAATGCCGACGGCTTTGTACCCGTTTGCAATTAACTGTGTGTTAAAACTGCGCGGCTGAGTTGTCCAAATAAGGATTGGACACCCAACAACACAATTGATCATGCGTGCGCTTACATTCGAACGTTTGAGTAGAATAAAGAGCTTTATATCGTGATTAGATATTTCCGAATACTATTACTAATTACTATTTCTATTTTCAAGCAAGGGCCACCGCCCACAGATACTAATTTTAGGGTTTCCACGGACGCCTGGAAGCAATAGCCGCCTCTGTGACAGGTCATGACTCATGTACTGTCTAGCTAGGATCAAAGACTGGCTCATGTTACGCGTCATGTCACATCTAGCTACAACAAATACTCAATCACGCAACGCATCATGTGACGCTCCACGTACTGTCTAGCTAGGGTCTTAGGATCTATTAGGGATTATGATATTCTTTAGCATGTCATTGTTTTTTAATTTGTTCAATGATTGTACTTTATATTTTTTAGGAAACTCCAATAATTTGAGTTTCAAAAAGATAATGATGTTAAAACTTGGAACTTTATTCTCTCATTATATACAACTGTTCTCTCTACAGTCTACTGTGAAATAAAATCAGTTTAATGATATTTTTAGAATGGTAGTTCTAGGTCAACGGGTTCAAGTGGGTGATTTCTATGCTGTGGTCAAATACATGGGCCCTGTAACAGGAACTGATGGTAAGTTCAAAATTTATATGATCTTGAAATATTAAACATTATGGTCATTAATATATTGATCATAACAATTATTATTATATGTATCTATAATTACACTAGTCTAGCCCTAAGGAATTGCATGTACCCTGTTCAACGGAAAGTTATGATAGAAATGAGTTGACAGGAATAGTAGAAAATTGGCCAAACAACCTCACATTCATCAACAAAATCGTTTTTTGTTTATGTATAATAACAAGTTTGAGTTAGAGTTAGAAAGCAACATCACAATCTAGGTAAACTATAGGTAAAAATATAATATTAATCATAAGCTAAAATGTACTAATCTTTGTATTCTAAATGGGGAAAAAGAAGAAACATTGTCAGTCAGTCGAGAAAATTGTCAGTCAGGCTATATGGCAGCTTTGTAGATGTTGTGACTATGCTAGTAGTGGTCCCAGGCTTGCGACTGGAATTGCGGTGTTAAATCGATTTAGTTGAAGTTGAAGTAACAGAACGTTTTAGTCAAAACATCATTTGCTATTCTTTCTGCATCAATGATGAAATAATTGGATTCACAGTTTCTACATTTAAAGATCTGTATTTATAAAAGAAAAATAGCAATTAATTGTCTCAACTGTCGATATATAGTACCTATCGTCCATAAGATTCAGTTTGATATAAAGCAAAAAATTGGCAAACCCATCTTTTATGTATCTTTTGATAATTGAAAACAAGCAATATTAGGTATTTTGGTTTATCAGATTTCAATTACTGCTGCAACATGATCTGGAGTTGTGGTGTACTGAAGTCTGACTATCTAACGTGATGCTACCATCTGAAGTTCCTGTCTTTGGCGGTCTTGGGATCGTCACCCCCATCAACTGAAATTTTTCTAATAAAAATTCTGTGATGAACTCTTTGAAATTTCACGATACTTTCAAAATAATCTTCAAGTTAGACATATGATCGAAAACACAACATAACTAACATGAATTTGTACCACTCACAATTTTTTCTACAAGCTGCATGCTCTGCTTAACTTGATAACCAGTTTTTGCGCTGACATGGAACACTTCAGTTGCTTTTATCGTATCTTTGAGAATGTCTAGATCCATGTCATCAACACAAGCTTTCCTTGGATTAGAGATGTCGTCAACTAGATCTTGCTGAAATACAATCTTTTAGATAATGACTTGTTCTGAATCTTGTTTGTATCTTTATTGGTTTCTAATATTATAGTGAATGATTGGTTTTTGCAATCCTACAAAACTTTCCTCGATACAATTTTTATCAACTGTTCTTTTATCAATTGTTCGAACTCCCTACCTTATTTGCAAGTACAATCGTAGGAATCTGTCCCAACTTAGTATCTACCTCAGCTTTCCACTCCTTAACATCTTCATACGACTTGGTATTAGTGATATCAAACACGATGATACAAGCGCTCGCTCCATTATAAAAGTTTCTTGACAACACTTTCTGCCGTTCTTGTCCTGCTATATCCCAAAACTGCATTCGCAATGTACAATGTTCGTACTTTATGACTTTCGGCTGAAAGTCCACTGAGGAATATAACTATAATTTGTATTAATTCCGAAAATTTAATTTAAAATGCTCCAGAAAATAATCATGGTAAAATGATATTTGACATTAATGTTCGATTAAATTCGGATTATTCATTTGTTTCCAAACCTCCTAGAGTGGTTTTATACTGAGCACTGAAGTTGTTGTTGATATATCTTTCTAGAAATGCTGTTTTCCCGACCCTGTTGTTTCCAAGTACCAAAACTTTGTACAAGTACTCTGTCATTACTTAGTTCTACTTAGACTGCAGAATATAATTGACTTGAAACAATTCGGAGCGTAATCTTACTTTTAATTTTCGAATGATAACGAAGATATGTATGAGTAGTTATCATAAATATTCCGAATAATGTTGGATCGTAGAATTCCAAATCGAGGTAAATGGGTGCAATCCAATTGCATCAAGAATCATGTCAACATGGTTTATAATAGGAAAAACATGTTTATTATAGATAACTCTGTACTAGGTTCAGTTAACGGATGCATGCCTTCTAAGTATGGTAGATTCTCACGTGATGGCACACCATTGGTCAATGATGTTGTACATCTCGGAAGAGAAGGCCTGAAAATATTTTGCATGAATATAAAACGATGTATTGTACAACGTGGTGGAAGTCAGTCCACGGAAAGATTTAAAGGTGGAAATGGTGACTATAGGAGTGCCATGCCCTAAGTAGGGGTAGTAGGGGTGATATCTTACCGATATGACCTCAATAAACTTTAATATTACAAGAGAGAGATGTCCAGGTTGTGATAGCAATGTACTAAGCCATCATAAAGTCATAATATGTGAGTGTTGCGATACAATATATCATGCCAAATGTTCTGAACAGAGCTTTAAATTTGACCATGTTAAACAAATGTGGCACTGCAGTCAATGTTTCGCCTTCAAATCCCAAAGGTACAATCCTTTCAACTCAATTATTTATGACAAATATGATCCCAACACTGTAGAAAGAGACGACGATATGGAGACTATTTCAAACATTCTAAAAGACTGTAGGTCTTATAACATGACAAATTTCAACCGGCTGTCAAAAAACATACTTAACCATAACAAGCCGTTTATATCTATTGTGTTTAACAACATTGATGGGAACGCATCTAACTTTGACAGCTTTATTACTGATATGAGTCAATATGATGAGAAATTTGCAGTTATTGCGCTAGCTGAAACAAACATTGATGAGGAAAATAAAGATTTATACAAAATTGATGGTTACAGCAGTGAGTACAACTCCAAAACTGATGGGAAAAAGAAAGGTAGTGGCCTTGGTGTATATATTGACAATAAGTACCAATACAGCCGAATCGAAAAGTTATGTAAATGCTCTGACAATCTTGAAACACTTTTTGTTGAGATCACTAACACAGAGGTTCCACAGATTGCTGGTGTTGTTTACAGGCCCCCTAGTGGTGATATTCTAGATGCACTTGCTGAGCTTGATGTGTTGATGAAATTCCTACCGTCTAATAATGTAGCCTTGACAGGTGACTCCAATGTTGATCTTTTGGCCCAGGGACGAAACATAGCTGAATTTGAACAAACTATCTACAGTAACAATTTAATCCCTTTGATATCGATTGCCAGCCATGCCAAGCCGGGTTGCAACGAAAGCTTAATTGATAATATTGTTTGCTGATGATACAAATATTTTTGTGATAGGTAGTTCAGCACAGGAAGCTTTTGAAAAAGCTAATCATGTAATGAAACAAGTCAGTAACTATATGGAATCTAACAAGTTACATATAAATGCAGGGAAAAGTTGTTATATGCATTTTCAGCCAGGTTTGTCAAGAGCAACACAGACCTGTGCCAGAACACGGCCCTTTAACAGAAATCTAACGATTTTAATAGATGGCAAAAAGCTAGAAAAAGTTCAATGTACAAAGTTTTTTGGGGTGATAATAGACGAACAGCTAAGCTGGGAACCACATCTTAATCATTTATCTTTAAAGCTGAACTCCAGTATTGTATCGATTAAGAGATTTTGCAAATTCATTCCCAAATCTGAATATTTGAAACTATACGATGCTCTTTTTATGTCACATCTTAGCTAAATTGTATAAGTTGCTGGGGTGGGATCCCTAAACATAAGCTGAATAAAATCTTTGCAATTCAAAAGCGATGTATAAGACTGCTATTTGGTAACATTCCCAATTTTGATCATAAAGAATACTATTTAACCTGTGCACGTTCAAGATCTTATAACGAACATATGGCTAGCAAGAACTACTGTCTTGAACACACTAAACCGCTATTCACCGAGCAGAAAATTATGAACCTGGAGAATCTGCACATGTACCATACATTTATGGAACTATTCAAAATTCTTAAATTTGATGTCCCCCAGTCGATTAAAGATCTTTTCAAGTTCTGTCCTAGAAATGAAAAAATTCGTCTGATTGTCCCATTACTGAGGTTAGATATCTCCCAACAGAACTTTTTGTACACCTCTACGAAAATTTGGAATGACCTCAGCCCCTATGTATTCGAAATATGTGATGCTAATGTAGATGGGATAATAATCCCGGGTTCTTCCAAGAATTCAGACTTATCAGCTTCGTCAGGTGTTATTAAATCTAACCTTAAAAAGCACTTGCTATCCCTCCAAAATCGAGATGACCCTAATACATGGTAACTAATCTATATTATATCTCAAACTCTACATCCGGTACGGCTATGCACACATGATATCTCTCTCTGCCATGAAACATGGCTAACCCTTTAAACTGTGATTCAAAACCTAAAGCTAAACTAAAACTCAACTGGGCTCTCCTTTGTCACCAAACTAAACCAATAAGTAATTTTAGATTATTATATTTTTCTATATTTGTATAATAAGTATATTGACGTAGTGGATGGTTGAGGGGGTTTCAAGCACAGGTCACTCTCAAATCCTAAAGATAAGCAGTGGCCTTCGGCACTTGAAACCTCTTCAAACCTCCCCTGATTTATTTATTATTGATATTGTTTGATTGTGCCGTAAAAATAAATATTTGTTTTATTAAATATTTGTTTTATTAAGAATCGTTTCACTTGTTATGGAAATTTCACGGTAGGGAAAGAAAGCAAAACTGAAAAGTGGTATGAAAGTCTAGAGCAATGTATGAAAATGAGTAACAAGTATCTGGACATTGCCTTAACAGTACGGAATCTTACTTATCTGAGGTAGGAGTATCGGGTTACTGCTGCTGTGATAACAAAATGTGAAGGAAGCTGAAAAGTTACCATGAAGTATGTCTGAAGTATGTCTGATCCGTCATGCTCACAATTATCTGTGAGAAACTGCGAGTACCTAACGGGCTAACATCAGTTGAAATAAAATCACTGCAATGACCGGGATTAGTTTCTTTTGTCGATGAGAATCTTATCAGTATAGTGATCTAATAGTATTTTCTAAGATTTCAGCACTTTAGCCATTATAAGTTAGCTGGATCTTTCCCAACTTGTAAGGCTGTAATCTAATATTAACTTTACCGGTGATAATGTGTTCAAAATGGAACACGAAAGTCAAAACTCAAAACTCTAACCGGGTCATGTGTAAACTTACGTCACTATTTGCCCAGTAAGTCTTGTCCTTTTACATTTATTTTAGTTTAAACAGTTTCAATTTAAGTGTTAAAGGCTTCAATTTTTAGATCAGAAAAAAAATTACAGAAAAACTATGGACTATAATTATAATTGATATACGAAAGGTTGGTAAAATAATCAAATACACGATTTTCTGTGAAATTCTTGAAATAAAATTTGTTTAAAGAAAAAACAAAAACAAACAAAAAGGTCTGGGCTCCAGTCAAACTCTTATAAGTTTGGTTTAACTATAAACATCTCATTAAACTGAGATTTAAATAACTAGGGCAAAAAACGAATTTTTTCAATTGCGTTCTGAAGATTAAGAGTCAGTTTCAGTTACAACAGAATCTAGAGGCTCCAAGTCCAGGAGGTGCAACGCTCCCTTTCCTCTGAACATTGATGTTTTTAGGAGGGCGTGGTTCAGTAGGGCGTGGTATCGTGACTCCCATCAACTGAAATGTTGGTCACTTAGAATTGAGGACCTGTGACTGATCTGCTAAATCATAATAGAGGAATGTTAGCTTGTAAAATCGAAGTAACTTTAAAGGCCGAGTAAGATAAGTACAAAGAATATATGTAAGTTAATTTGCTATCAGCCAAATTCAAGATTATTGCTTATCGAAGGACACTCAGTCACAATTCCTTCCGTTCTGAAAGTTCTATAAAAACTTACGATTTTCTCTAATAACTTCATGCTCGATTTCACTTGATAACCAGTCTTCGCGCTTACATGAAACACCTCGGTAGCTTGGATTGATGTTTTTAACGTTTCTAAGTCCATATCATCAACACACGCGTTCTTTGGTTCCAGTGAACTATTATCCACCAAATCGTGCTGTAAACAGAGTACACTAAGATCCTAAGTAGAATTGCCATGATGCAGCAAGCAACTTGGAAATTCAGTAATTCAGGACGAGAATGTTGTTATTGTTGCCGTTACCCACCTTATTCGCAATCTTATCATTAACTATTCAAACTCCCTACCTTATTTGCAAGTACAATCGTAGGAATCTGTCCCAACTTAGTATCTACCTCAGCTTTCCACTCCTTAACATCTTCATACGACTTGGTATTAGTGATATCAAACACGATGATACAAGCGCTTGCAGCATTATAGTAATTTCTAGTCAGGACCTTAGTGTACTCCTGACCAGCAATGTCCCAGAACTGCATGCGGAGGGTACACTTCTCCCACTGTATCACTTTCAGCTGGTAATCAACTGGTGGGGTTTAGTAGTTTAAGTAGTGTGAATATTACATATTAATCTTATTGATAGGGAGATCAGTTCATGGAATCTAAAATTAATTGTGACGTTGGTTCCATCCCAAAAATCTTGCACGAAACAAAAATTGAAATAAGATTTTTCCGGTAAGTAAACGCTCATCATTGTCGTGAAGATTGTTGAGCTTTTGTGAAAATGAAGTTTTACCTCCTAAAGTTTTTTTGTAATTTGCATTGAACGTATTGTTTACGTATCTGTCTAGGAAAGCTGTCTTGCCCACGTCTTGGTTTCCAATAACAATCACCTTGTACAAATACTCCGTCATCCCTCTTCTCTAGGATATAGGACTGAGTCAGACTCATATAATAATATATCATTTTCAAATAAGAGGAATCGGTGTAGTCAGTAAAAGTCAATAAGCCGGTAAAAAGGGACATGGTTAAGTTACTATTTTTTTTCAACACCGATATCCGATGTTATGTGTTGAAACTGTTGTAGCTAGCAAATACAATCCTCCTTAAAGTTAAGAGAACTGTCATAGAGTATGAACCTTCGTGTTGCATACTAATTACAACACTACAGATCTATTACATTTACTGAGAATTATGTAACGTGATGGAAATATTTTAAACGGGTAAAATCCTGTCCAAACCCAGGATACATAACATGAAGACTTTGTTGTAACTTGTATGAAAAGCATTAATACCAAATAAAATTTTTAAATTAGACTTTAAGCCAAATATCTTATCAGCAACTAGACCGCAAGGAACAAAATCGTATAATTGTAAAGTTAATTGCGAAACAAATAACTGAATGAATCATGAAATTGAAGTACGCTCGAGATTTAGATCATAACACCCTGAGAGAAGGTACCAAATGTTCTTTCAGAGTTGTAACGCGATATTTATGGATATTTATTATTTGTCTCGAGTTTCAATGGTGACAGTGGTTCTGTTATTAAGTTACTACTCAATGTCACGTTCTATGTATATTGTATAACACATATGGTACTAAATCTCCGTATACATGTTTGATGAGGTGTAGTTGTTGGAAACTGGACGGAAGGTATACTAAATATTATACTAAGTATTGCTGAGTATTGCTGAGTATTTCAATGTTTACTGAGTAGTAATACTGTTCCGAGAACTCCGTAACTCCTGTCTCTCCGAATTAAGTGTAACATGATATGATTCACTTGGCGAGTCCCCCCAACAGAACCCTAAGGGCGTGCCTTCAACAAGCATACAAAGTGGGCACATTTTGAACTCCTTCCATACTCTTTCATGACTAAATTGACGATTTAGAGAATTTTACTTGTTAAAAATTGGTGAAAAATATGGGCGTGGCCCAAGTCAATATTATCCGACACCGTAGAGTCAAAACTTTTTTTGGTTGTTGCTGACCCTATAGAGCAACTAATAAGATATGATCTCTAATTATTTGAACAGCTAATGGTAATTTGAACCGCTCTAAGCATGTATAAGATTATTTAACTTATATATTGGGAAAAAGTTTATTATATCAATAAAACAAACCTCAAATGTAACGAACTAATTGAACTGGGGAGACAAATGAAGAGTCCGAGATTAGACTATGCACTAGGAACTCAAATGAACCTACCTATAATTGAGCCTAATGTCAGAAAACAATTCTTCTTCCTAGTTTCTGTCCATGCGGCATGCAGTATAAACAGTCTGCTTCTTGTTCGACGATTTTAGCAATTGTTGAAATAGTATTTGATTTATTTATTATTTATTGTAAATTCTGTCTAATGATCGTTACTGTCGTGTCTTGTCTGTCAACAATTTACTTCCGCTTTTCTTCATAGATTCTGAGCCACAAAATTATGCACAACCTAAGGGAAAGCCCTGATAAAGGAAGCACTAATTAATGTACTAATCAAATGTATGAAAGAAGACCTGTACTCAGTAAATTAACTTATATGTAGCAGGTCAGTTTTCCTGCCAATTGATTTATTCTATTACCTTTAAAAATATAATCTTGTGTTTCAGGAGAGTGGTTGGGAGTAGAGTGGGAAGACGAGGGGCGTGGTAAACATGATGGTTCTTATAGAGACGTCAAGTGAGAAATTTGTATTTTTTGAACTCAGGTGTTGTTCAAATAGAGCTATTGCTTCTGATTAAGCTATTTTAAAAACTTCACAGTGTGATAGTTTCGAAAGTATTGTTGATAAAGGGCTATACCCTGATTTGCTGCATTCCCAAGAGTTTCTGACACAGTTATGTCCATTTCCAGGTACTTTGAAGCAAAGCCCCTACACGGTAGCTTTGTACGATCACACAAACTGAATCCTGGCTTGAGTTTTAGTGAAGTTCTCCGACAAAGATACGCTGACGTTACTGGTGTTGTGAGTAATACTTACCAGGAGGTGACCGGGAATCCCGGTACCGGGAATCCCGGTACCGGGATTGGCAATTTTGAGCTATCCCGGTCCCGGTCCCGGTCCCGGTCAACCGGGTCAAGTCACATTTTTCATCCCGGTCGCGGTCCCGGTCGCGGTCAAATGCTGATTTATGATCCCGGTCCCGGTCCCGGTTAATTCAGGATTCTTGGTCCCGGTCCCGGTCCCGGTCCCGGTCAATCACTCAAATTTGCCGGGATTTTGACCGGGATCTTTTACATAATTTCATTCACTGTGATTTTAAGTTTTTACTTTCATTCATTGTGAATTTCATCTTTAAACAACCTCTGAGCCAAATAAAACAATGTTTAAAATTGCTAAACAAGTTTAGGTAACTAATATCGTTACATAACTCATAAGTGCAAACTAACATCAAGTTTTCAACTCGGGCTACGCCCAATTGTCAATTGGAATTGGAGAATGAAACTGTTGAATAATTTGAGGGATCATTGATTGAGGAATGAGGAATGAGGGTGAACTTGAGTAATCAGTACATGAACATTATTGGTGTAGTACATTAGGCCCATGCCCCATATTGACGGTTTTTTAAAAGTTTTTTCTAATTTAATATTCTAGTTATTACTTATTCAAATTGTTCAATTATAATGTAAATGAAAGTTGCAGCTTTCAATATGAGAATACCAGTTTTGGTCCCGGTCATCCCGGTCATCCCGGTCAAATCCCGGTCATCCCGGTCAAATCCCGGTCATCCCGGTCATCCCGGTAAAATTGGATTGTTGGTCCCGGTCCCGGTCCCGGTAAGATAGAAATCCCAGAAATTATTGGTCCCGGTCCCGGTCCCGGTCACGGTAAATTGATAATCTCAGTCCCGGTCCCGGTCCCGGTCCCGGTCAAGTCACATTTTGTATCCCGGTCCCGGTCCCGGTCCCGGTCAGGCCTAAAATCATGTCCCGGTCACCTCCTGATACTTACCAATAAGTTTCTAGTAATGTTTATCTAAAAACCAGAAACACTGGCAGTTGGCACGTGTCCAAAGAAATTTGGTTCACCTTTTCACCAGTATCTAGATATATACGGCATTTTACGTTAATATAGTTCCAGTGGAGGACAGGACAACTGCTTTAGGTCCATTTAATTTTGTGGTGTTTTTCAGTTAGCTGAAAATAGAAGAGAAACAACTAAACTTATTAATTTCAGGGTGATGAAATGTCTATTGTAAACAAAGATAACTCCAAAACAAATGTTGAACTGGTCGGTTTATCAGATGCTGATATTAACAGAGCAGCTCAACTCACCAATCTTGTGATGAGGTAAGGATTTACTCGAATTCGAACTCAAACTTGAACTCAAACTCACAATCCCAATCTCCCAATCTCCCAATATTTCAATCTCCCAATCTTTCAATCTTTCAATCTTTGGATCCCCCAATCCCAATCTCCCAAATCCTATCTCACAATCTCACAATCTCACAATGAACTTGTTATCGGTTTTAAGAAGTGATTTAAATAGTAGAAATTTGCAAATGGACAACTTGTATGAATTGAACGAAATTAGAGATATAGCTGCATGCAACAGATGTTGGGAAAATCTTTTTCAAGGGTACAGTTTACCGCATTAAGGTATTTTTAAGAATCATTTTTGTCGGTAAGATCCTGTTTTATAATAATAATATAACCTAGAATGAAAAACTTTTGTAACTGTTTCAGAGAACAGAGTATAATATCAGTTGGTGATGATAGCTTCATAGAAGAGAAATGTGTAAATGCTGAAAACATGGATATGTCATTGAACTTATTCCACGATATTAATACCATACTTCAAATCTTACATCTCATGCCCAAATTGAGAAGCGTACATCTGAAAGGTAATTAATAATTATAAACTTGCTTGTCTTTGAATGAACTGAAAAAGTGCATTTATCTCCACTTCCAATTTCTGACTGAGAAACTTTATCCCAATAATCTTTCGAAATTGCCTCAAATGGCCGAAAAAAGCACCTTCGTAAGATGAATGTTTGCATCTCTAAATACTAACGCTTTATCAGGTAATGTACTGTTGAATAAAGATGTATCAGATGTCGAACAGCCCCACCCCTATTTGGAAAGGATTTATCTTGCCGGCACAGGTTAGACAAGAGTTAGTTCCAGTAGTCTGTTCGTTAAATTGCTCTTAAAATATTGTTCGGTATACGATACATTGTTCTACCTACCTATTGAACCTATTGATAGGTTTAGAAGTAGGCATCTTCACGGCCATCACGCAATCTGCGGACCACCTCCTTGACTGCACCAGTCTATTATCGAGTTAGAGTTTTCTGCACTGTATCCAGGAGTAGGGGGCTTGTCTGGAAGGGTGTCTAGGAAGTTTCCAAGAGATGTCTTGAAGCTTGTCAAAGTCCTTTGAGTATTGACAATTTTGGGGAGAACATTCCAGAGTCTTCCAGCTCTCACTGCGAATGAGTGGTCGTAGGTGGAGCGTGCAGCAGCTGATGCTTTTTTTGTGAGAGAAGGGAGTATAACTTTAACTCCCAGTCTGGCATTCTCTCTGAACTGTACATCTAGGTCATTTGGACATATACCCTGGAGAACTTTCCACAGATGTATGATGGTGTAGCGTTCTCGGCGTCTTTGCAGTGATGTAAGTTTCAGTTCCTTCAGTCTATTCCAATAATCGGTGTCTCTGAGCCCTAGAATTCGTCTAGTGAACTGGCGTTGTATGCTCTCGATAGACTGGATATCATAGATCTTGTTTGGATTCCAAAGCGGGCAGCAGTACTCCACTCTGGACCTTATCAGGGATTTGTAGAGCTGGAGCATAACAGGTGTTGTCCTGTCTTTGAATACTCCAAGAACCCAAGATGCCATCTGACGTGCCTTGTCAACCATGATATTGATATGTGGTGTCCAGGAGTAATCATCGGACATGTTGACTCCTAGGTCACGCACTAATGGGCTTCTTTCTATGACTGATCCATTTGGAGTGGTGTAGTTTGTGATGTCACTCATAAATGGCAGCTCCTCTGAAAGTGATTTAGAGGCCGGTGTTCTATAGCAAACAAGTTCAAACTTGTTTTCGTGCAGTTTCATGTTGTTGTCCTCGGACCAACGTATGATTCTGTTTAGATCTTCTTGAAGAAGATTGCAGTCGTTTAAGGTCGATATTTTTCTGCCTATTCGGGTATCATCGGCAAAGCTGCTCAGTTTGGAATCTTTCACGTACTGATCTAGATCGTTGACGTAAAGAAGAAAGAGGATTGGACCAAGTACAGTCCCCTGCGGTACTCCACTGATAACCGGCATTGGCCTAGAATGTTTTCCATCAACAATGACCGTTTGAGTCCTATCAAGGAGGAATTGCTCAATCCATTTGTACAGATTACCTTGTATTCCATACGACTTAACCTTTTTAAGAAGTAGGGAATGATCCACCTTGTCGAAGGCTTTAGCATAATCAAGGTATATCACGTCTGTTTCGGAGCTGTCTAGGTAGTTGTTTAGGATGTAGTCCATGTGTTGTAATAACTGTGTAAGACAGCTTCTACCTTTCCGGAAGCCGTGTTGCTTCTTAGAGAATATGTGATTCGACTCCAAGTGCTCTACCATGTTCTTTCTTAGTACTCTCTCAAACACTTTTATCATATGGGAAGTTAACGAGACAGGTCTATAATTTCCCGGGTCTGTTTTGTTTCCTTTTTTAAACACTGGTGTGATATATTGTTCCTTATAGACTGAAGGAACTTGACCATTTCTGAAGGAGTTCTCCCAAATGATCATCAGGGCTTCTGAAAGCGGTTGTTTGCAAGCTTTCAGTATCCTTGCTGGAATGTCCCCATCAGATGTTGCTGAGTCAGCATCAATTTCATCAATAGCTGTGATGAGGTCCTCTTTACTAAAGTTGAATGATGTTAACTTTTCTGAGGGCGATGTTATATTGCTGGTTGTGTCTTTTTTCTTCTCGTTGTCAGGGTCACTAAACACTGAAGAATATTGGTCTTGAAGGATTTCCGCCATTTTCTTAGCATCATGTTGTAGTGTTCCTGTGGAGCTGCTTCTTAGCGGACCGATATTTGATTTCAGCTTAGAAAATCTTTTTGCATAGCTGAAGAAATATTTCGGGTTTTTCTTAACGCATTGTACAGCTTTGCGCTCTCTTCCGTGAATCTCCATACTTATGTTTTGTTGAATTTCATAAGCCATCAGATTCACTTTATGTTCTAGGGTAGGTAAGGAGAGGGAGTCTGGGTTTAATATCTTAAGACATTTGATGCGTGCCTTGAGTTTTCTCTTTTTTCTGTATAATATCCTTCTGGGTCGGCTTATTTTGGGCCTGGCATTAGCTGCTGGAGTTTCCTTGAGAGGGGTATGGGCATAGCAGATCTGTAGTGTTGTCAGTCGGACGATTTCTGCAAACATCGATCCGTCATCTTCTTGTGGGCACAGATTATGAAGTGTGTTCCATTCAACATCTATGAGTTTTCTGTTTATGGCATCAAGATCTGCTTTGTGGAGGTTGAGGCTAAAGTATGTGAAATCCTCTGCTTCTTTCACATTGTGATAGTAGTTTTCATTTCTTCTGGCGTCGTAGCCTAGAACTACGGACACAAGATTATGGTCAGATAAACTAGTTTCTGTGGACTGTGTCTCACAAACATATTGCACACGGTTGGTTAAGACCAGGTCAATGGTGTTGTTACCACGTGTCGGCTGGTTAATGATTTGTGAGAGAAGATTTTTCGACATGAAGTCAAGTAGAAGGGTCGCCGACTCTGTTCCTCTCTTCCTAGAGAGCTGTCTGCAGTTAATATTTTCCAATCTATATTGGGTAAGTTGAAATCTCCTGTTACGTAGAGCTCCTGATTTTCTTCAGGTCTTGAGTCAATGAATAATTGAATCTGCTCTAATATATATCTGAACGAAGCCACCGGGCAGTCAGGTGGTCTATACACTGTTGCGGTAACACAGTTCAGTTCCTCTATCCTGAGGATTACACAATTACAGAATTTGTCGCCAAAACTTTTGTAGTCAGACACAATATACGAGCTGTGAACGTATAACAATGCACCTCCATTGTTTCTCAGGTCTCTATCTGATCTGAAGACTGAATAGTTTTTTACCTGTAATTGTGCATCGGTAATGTAGCTCTTCAGCCACGTTTCTGTTATCCCCATGAATGGCACGAAAGTATTTTTGTTGTTGAGAATGGTATCGGAAATGAAGGGTATTTTCCACTTTGTCGTGCTGGTGGCTTTAGGGGATAGACACTGCGCATTTAGTAGATGGAACACTGATTCTGGCCGTTGTTCCACGGGGCAGTTGGGGGTTGTACCATTTGGTTGGGTAGTTGGTACTGGTGGAATGTTGGTGGTTGGGGAAGGCTGAGTTGGTTGATGGAGCTCAGTTGTTTCCAGAGGGCTTCTATCTGTGTGTCTATGCCCTGTTTCATAATTCCTATCTCTGCTCGTTGTTGACTGAAGCCCTGCTTCATGTTCTCCATAAGTTTTTCTAAAAAATCATTTGGAGTGCAGTGGATCTCTGTTGGTCACTGTTCATTCGTCTTCTAGTGAAGGGGGTTCTGAATGCTTCACTACTATGGCTTTCCACAGATGTGGTGCTATCTCTTCTCAATCTAGATGGCCTTGTGTCCATCCTAGATGTGTCAGCTGTAGGGCGGAATCTTTGTGGGTTGTATTGACGGGTATCTTTATCTCTATCCTCGTCATAATTTTGTCTCTTTGTACCTACCAAGTGTGTATAGGTACAGTCTGGGTTCAGGCATTTGCCAGATTTGAGGGAAAACTTACACAGTACTGGGTGGTACTGTTTGCAGGAATTTCCTTTGGTGCAACCGCCTCTTCTTTTTCCAAAGCGACAGAACTTAACGCATCTTCTGGGGTGTGCATGCTCACAGGTCTTGCCTTGCACTTCGGTTTGACCACTTGCACCATAGGGGCATTGGTGCTTTTTGTACAGTGGACATATAATTTGTACTTGAGACTTCTCCTCACTCCTCGCTTCGTGTGTGTCTCGACGAGGGCTGGGTCTATCTTCTTCAGAAGTTAGATTATCGTTCTCAGTCTCAGTTTTCTGGACAACAACAAAATCATTTTTGTCGTTATCTTTTATCTCGCTAGTATCTTTTTCTTCTTCTTTTTCCTTTTCTTCTTCTTCGAAAGATACTGTTCGTCTTTGTAGTTTAGTAGAGCCCGACAGTTTGTTCTTAAGCCTACATCCCCTACAAAGCCAAACTGACCCAGTCAGGTGGGTGGTCGAATCTTGACTAAGTCTCTCAAACCTTGCAGAAACTGCTTCACAGTCGTGACTTCCTTGTATGCAGAGATAGCAAGATATATAGGGAATCTCTCCATCGAGCTTGTTCTGGTACTTCTCGTTACATTCGTCGCACTGTTCTGCAAAGTGTGATTCTATCTTCAGGATTATCCTGTCAGTAAGGATGTCTTTGTTCTTAAATATCTTTGTGTCGTCTTCATTCCTCACCTTCAATTTAAGGAAAACGGCACAATCTTCTAGCTCGGCCACAGGGAAAACTTTGATCTTCTTGAAGTTTGCCTGGTACTTTACGAAATAACTATAAGCACCGATGACTTTCTTTATGTTGGGTGTTTTAGCTAGTTCGAGTAGTTCTCCGATGGCTGATTTGTACATTTCGACATCTTCTGGGGAGTGTGTCAGTATACTCATTTTATGGCAGTGTTAAGTCTTACCAACCAATGAGGAGAACAGAAGATGAAGATATCAGTAACAGCGACACACAACACTTACAGCACGGTCTACCTGGTCTGATGATAGGAACGTTGATACCTGGTATACCGCGTGCATATTAGGGCTACTGAAATCTGATACATCTTAAACCCCATAAATGAGATACCTATATATTATGGTCTCTGGATTAATTTATAATCGATGATAGTTATCACCATTTATATGCGGCGTCGATCAGCTCACACTGTTTACGTCCGCTGTGGGCTATAGTTGTTCGAACCTTTTGATGCAATATGTTAGGGAGTAGGGACCTGCTTTTCATTTTCGTCATTCTCCCATTCCCTAAAACCCCTTGGCAACGCAATATTTCCCTTTTTCTGTTTATGAAACCTTTCAAGTGGATATGAGCGCGAACGACAAACGAATTTTATCGTGATATTCTGGCGCGAAAATTACGCGCACTCCGGCGCGCCAGTCGTTCAATTATGTAATTGATCGAGTTGGTTCTAATTATTGATAGTAGTTCAATTAAAGTTAGGTGGAGTTGACCGCACTCCAGGACCATCAGCCAGATCAGATCCGCGGCAGTGGGACCCCTAGTTCTGTTAGACCCAGTCACACGGCAGGATCTAGCAGAGTTATGAGGCTGGCACGAAGAGCAGGTCCTACGTTGCTCCCCCCACTGTGGCACAAGCACGACGTGTTGCTTGGCCGACTAAAGTCATTAAAATGGTTGCTAAAATCCGATTTGTGGTTACTAAAATCCGATTTGTAGCTTTAAAATCCGTTGTGTGGTTGTAAAATCACGTCTGTTGTAGTTCCGAGTTCCATCATCCAATCATTCCGTTTCCGTGAAGGGGTTTCCAAGATCTGTCAAGTCCATTGTAATCACCATGATGTGAGTCTCACTCATCGATGGGGATGACTACATCAGAGGAGAGTGCTGGTCGGACCAGCAGGGGTGGGAGGCTGCTTACTCGGCTCATATCTGCCTGGAGAGCTACATCCTGCTTTTCCATTTCTAGAACGACGTCCGTCTGTACTCCTTGTTCTGATATCCTGTGCGCGATTCTTTGGGCGAAAACTGTCTTTAGTTTCCTATTGATCATCATCTCGAACTCTTTGAACGTTCGATCGTTCACAATGTCCAATTCTCGTATCTTGATGATCGTAGATTGGAGTCGAGTACAAGCCTGACGGCTGTCCGCTCTCATAGTCTTTACTAAGTATATGAAGAGTCCTAGAAGAGCACTTCCTATCATGAGAATGAAAATCGCAATGATCAGGAGGCTCGATTCTTCCATTCTTGAAAATGTGATTTTCTTTGAAATGTGGGTTTGCTGGATCAAACGATCTAGCAGATTCAAGCGTAATGTAAAAGTTACTAACGAATCTGGGACGATCATCTGTCGCTAGGATATTTAAAGCAGCCCACGTGCAGGTTTTCAATTTTTGCTAAACTTCGTCGGATCTGTATTCCGCATGTGTAGTTTGTTGCGAGCCTTTGTTGCGAGCCTTGTTCGACTCTAGTGAAAATGTAAATAAATAGAATTCATCCAAAAATGTCAAATCAGTCGAATCAGTGTTTTGACATTTTTATTGAAATCTCGGATCTTTTTTATTACGTAGCGTGTGAAATATATTTTGATGCACGAATGGAATTGTGGTAACTTTGCATAATATTTGCACATTATCTAGCAATTCAACTATTTGTAATCATAAATAATAATAAACGATCATTTTTTAGAGCGTTTTGTTTTTGCTAATGAAAATTGAAAATGACTAATCAATAATATGCGACGAAACCTTCGGCACCTAGCTTCGGCACCTAGCTTTAAAATTTACTTACTTTGGTTACTTTGGTTGTGTTTATCCTCGTAGCAGGAAGGGTCATCAGATTTCTGACCACCTCGATGGCGAGTTAATAGGAACCGACCGGATTGGGGTTTTGGCTGCCGGACCGGATTCAGCCGGATTTGGATCTCAAATCCGGCAAGCCGGATTTTGCCGGACCGGAACCGGTGGTTTCAGAGTGAAATAAAAGGCAGCCGGATTTTGCCGGATTTTGCCGGATTTTGCCGGTTTTTGCCGGATGTTGCCGGAAAATTTCCTTCCTTTCCACGCCTAATCTTCATCGAGCACTTCTTGCAGCTTGCATAAGGGATCCCATTTTCTTCTGAGTAGAACAACCAGACGGACGATGTTTTAGATTTACTACTACTCGACTCGACTTAGGGCGGCTTCAACGTCCGAACAGATATAGTTTTTTTACAAATCTTCCTATCTACTACTAGACATTGCTTAAACAAGCAGTATGTAGCAGACATAATGTAACACGAGTCACGACACTAGACGAGTAATAATCAGAAATGATATCTAATTGGCATATGCTGCCAGACCCCTGATTGAGCGCGTTTGTGCGAATTCCCTTTTTTTCATGCAAGTCTGAGTATCATTGGGTCACGTGACTTACAACCAGAGGTGTTTAATAAGGTTGTTCGTAAGCAGGCACTGTCTAGTACAGTACTAATCACCGTCTGGCGTCTAGAGCGGAGTCACATGATTGCAGTAATGAGCTAATTAAGTAGCTACCCAGACCCTGAACACGTGACCTTCATATTTCGTATTTCATAATCAGAAGATTAAATACTGCCAATTTTGCGATTATAGCCGGGGGCTAGCCCAGGGAGGTGGCCCAAAATATTTTTCGGTTTTTTCTAAGTCCGCACCTACCCCTCGATACACTATTCTGTATTCTGGACTCAAGGTTTCCCCTGGTAATGTGATCTCGGAAGGCAGGCCTCCCCTTTGCAAAACGAGCTCGGAAGCGGGAGCTCTCGATACAGGAGGTACGTCTCGAGAACGACTCGGACCGAAAACTGTTAAGTTAATATTTTTCGAAGTTTTTCTGAAAACCACTTTTTTCCACGATTCAGGCTACCCTGTTCATTATTAGCTGAAAATATTTTTTCGGTTTTTCGAAGTCCCCACCTACCCCTCGATACACAATTCTGGACTCGAGGTTTCCCCTGGTAATGTGATCTCGAAAGGCAGGCCTCCCCTTTGCAATACGAGCTCGGAAGCGGGAGCTCTCGATACAGGAGGTACGTCTCGAGAACGACTCGGACCGAAAAACTTCTAAGTCAAAAATTTTCAAAGTTTTTCTGAAAACCAATTTTTTCCACGATTCAGGCTACCCTGTTCATTATTAGCCGTAAATATTTTTTCGGTTTTTCGAAGTCCGCACCTACCCATCGATACACAATTCTGGACTCGAGGTTTCCCCTGGTAATGTGATCTCGAAAGGCAGGCCTCCCCTTTGCAACACGAGCTCGGAAGCGGGAGCTCTCGATACAGGAGGTACGTCTCGAGAACGACTCGGACCGAAAAACTTCTAAGTCAAAATTTTTCAAAGTTTTTCTGAAAACCACTTTTTTCCACGATTCAGGCTACCCTGTTCATTATTAGCCGAAAATATTTTTTTGGTTTTTCGAAGTCCGCACCTACCCATCGATACACAATTCTGGACTCGAGGTTTCCCCTGGTAATGTGATCTCGAAAGGCAGGCCTCCCCTTTGCAATACGAGCTCGGAAGCGGGAGCTCTCGATACAGGAGGTACGTCTCGAGAACGACTCGGACCGAAAAACTTCTAAGTCAAAAATTTTCAAAGTTTTTCTGAAAACCAATTTTTTCCACGATTCAGGCTACCCTGTTCATTATTAGCCGTAAATATTTTTTCGGTTTTTCGAAGTCCGCACCTACCCATCGATACACAATTCTGGACTCGAGGTTTCCCCTGGTAATGTGATCTCGAAAGGCAGGCCTCCCCTTTGCAACACGAGCTCGGAAGCGGGAGCTCTCGATACAGGAGGTACGTCTCGAGAACAACTCGGACCGAAAAACTTCTAAGTCAAAATTTTTCAAAGTTTTCTGAAAACCACTTTTTTCCACGATTCAGGCTACCCTGTTCATTATTAGCCGAAAATATTTTTTTGGTTTTTCGAAGTCCGCACCTACCCATCGATACACAATTCTGGACTCGAGGTTTCCCCCGGTAATGTGATCTTGAAAGGCAGGCCTCCCCTTTGCAACACGAGCTCGGAAGCGGGAGCTCTTGATACAGGAGGTACGTCTCGAGAACGACTCGGACCGGAAAACTTCTAAGTCAAAATTTTTTTTTTTCTTAAAACCACTTATTTTCCACGATTCAGGCTACCCTGTTCATTATTAGCCGAAAATATTTTTTTGATTTTTTTTCGGTAAAAAAAACTGAAATCCGGCAAAAATCCGGCAAATTTTTTTCCAGCCGGAGCCGGAACCGGAACCGGATTTTGAAGCCGGATATCCGGCCGGAACCGGATTCAGCCGGATTTCCGGTCGGTTCCTAGGCGAGTAGTCTACCAGGGAATTAGACCAGCTGCAGCTATAACCGGAAGTCGGAGGGTTGTCCGGTATCAAAGCAATAAACTTGGACAAACTAACTTTAAACGACTCAAACGTAGCTTCAGCTTTAATATTATCAGGCACTTTGTTCCACAGTTTTGGTCCTCTTACAGCAAATGAGCTGTCATAGAGTGTCTGGTTGCTCGAGGATTTCAGGAAGTTAACGCAAATAAAATTTTCAGGATTATCGTGGGGAGAGTTCTGTAAACTAGCGGAACACTTTCCAAACATTCACGAAGTCTACATATCCGGCTCAACACTGAACATCTGCGACACTCCCGCACACATTCTACAGCAAATGACAGTGCTTGACGTCCAGCACTCTGACATAGTCAACTGGAGCACGCTAAACGATGTGTCCGCGTTACCGAACCTCCATACGCTGATATTATCGAACAACTCAATATCCAGCATCCAGATATCACCGGGCCAGTTCAGTAAACTCGAGGCGCTGTCATTGGACAACAACAAGCTGAACGATTGGTCGAGTGTGGCTGAACTCCGCAAGTTGCCGCTGTTAAAAACACTGAGAATCCGCCTTAACCCGCTTATAACTGGGCCAGGTCTTGACATGAGGCTTCTGGTTGTTGCCATGTTACCTGCCGTCAAGAAATTAAACGGGACTCCTATTTCTGACAACGAACGACTTCAAGCTGACATTTTCTATTTGAAACATTTCGCAACGGATTATTACAAGGGGGAGTCTGATTTCCACATTATGCACACTCGATACAAAGAGTTAGTTGTGGAGTATGGAGAGCCCGATACGGGAATGCCTAAGATCAAGTCAATCAAGGACAATTCCATCATCGTGAAAATTTTAAAACCAGACGGCAAAGAATTTGAAAAGAAGCTCTTAAAGACGACTCTCGTGAAACATCTCCACCTTATCGTTCAAAGGCAGTGCAAGATTCTTCCAAAGAATCAGAAATTATATTTGATCGATCCATCGAATGATAAGATCCATTTGGATGATCCAACAAGAGATTTGGCATATTTTAACATAGATCACGACTGCACAGTTCACGTTGAAACATAATTAAATCAGCTACAACAAATATGGTTCAAACATCCTAATTCGAAACATAGAATAATATTGACCTAGAATACTCGCATATTTGAGACAATCGTTAAATGTACAAAAGTTTAATCATTATATGTATATTTTTGTTGGTTTGTAGAAAAGTTTTCTAAAATATTCTACTTATTTGTTCTTAAATGTCATTATCATTATGTCCTATTAAAAACTTCTGGCTCCAATTAGCACTCTTAGTCCTGTTGAGCACCTTTCCACGTCGTAAGCAACAATCTGTTGCTGATCTCCTTATCTTTTTTCCCGAGTTTCCCCGGTCTGCTCTCTTTGCTCCCCGTTTTTCACTCCATCACACTCCATCGCCCTATCATCTGGCACATTTTCCTTATTCTTCGCGTTGCCGTTATTTCTGTGTTTCCTCCTAGGAGAGGCGTCCACATAAAAATTGTCCGGTATATCAGCAGATAAGGTCACCCGTGTTGCGGAACCGCGATCAGACTTTTGTACCCGAGCGTCTAAACTGTCCGGAGTCCTCACTGTTGGTGAGAGTCCGCGTGTTTGAATAGTAATCATCATATGAACACTTTCGTCATAATTATCATTGAGTCGAGGAGAGCCGGCCAATGCACCTGCAGAAGCTACAGTACTGCGCGGCGTGTTGAGAGGGGTGTTGGTTCCGGAGTGGCCGTATGACGTCCCTGGTCCCCCAGTGCTCGGTCTTGCTCTGTAAATTATCTTACTGTGGCAGTTCAGATTGGTTGTGGTTGACAGTTTTCGGTGCTCCTTCTGAAAAAGATGCTATTCGTAAAAGGGTTTTATTTTGATAATTTTAGGGTAAGGAATATTATTTCTTATCAGAATCAAGCACTCAGAATGCATGCAAATAATATTCAAACTCGATCCGACCATTGATCATGCATTTCATAAATCATCAGTATCAGGAATTTATATTGGTCGTTTCAACTAACACCCAGATGATTTAAATTAAGAAGTTACCGCGCGAACCGTATCAAGTCGAGGTATCTCAATCATATTGGAATCAAATGTGATACTTAAACATCATGTTCAATTCGAGCTAATGCTATGTATCTCAATCATATTAGAATCAAATGTGATACTTAAATATCATGTTCATTTTCATAATCAAGGTTGTCACCTGCTCCACTCTTAAGCATGATCATCATCGAATCAATCAAATTAGTGAGAAATCACGTTAAGTGTGAAACCAATCATGTCTAGCATGGCCTGTGACTTCAATCAGTGCGCCTTAAACTCACTGCACATTTAACAGCTAATTATTTAATTATTTGGTCCTCCTCTCATGGATCTAGGGCTGGTTGATTGCCTCTCCTTTATCCAGCGGGCACTTACAGCCGACTTCTAAAGATATTAGTTTATCACTTAGTTTTGAAAGCTTTCATTCCGCGGAGACTTGCAGTCTTCTAAAGATATTTGTTAGTCACTAAGTGTTAAAGTTCCCACAAGTTCGAGGATCTCACCCTCGACTGTCGGTGGTACTGTTCTCTTTTTGTAATGTTTCCAAATTATATCTATCTTTTCAGTTTTGATCAGTGATAAGAATTTCAAAGTAATATGCAAAATACTTACTTGTGCTATAACGTTCTTCCTCATTTCTTTGCCTCGTTTCAAGTAAGCTGGCATATCGATGATAAAGGGGTTAATTGAGGCACGGAGGTATATGATAAGTTGCTGTCCAAACATGTAGTTGAGGTACATTTCCGATCTCAAGCTGAACCTGGGAGAATGCTGGTCAGGCGAGAGTAGCTTACGTTACTTACATGAGCAGTTGGACAACTAAACGATCAATAGTGACACTTATACCTTCACTCATTTTGTAACCTAAATAATAATTTCTGTGTCATATTTTTTATCATTCTCAATAAAATATGTGGTTTAAACTCTCACTTACCAGTTTAAGTTATACGCCCAGTTACATTTGGTGTAGATAGAAAAAGCGAGCTGAGGTGTCACACAAATGAGCGTGAGAATGGTGACCCGTATTATCACCACCACGGCTGATCTCTTAGTCTCATTCTTAGCTTCAAGACCGATATACTTATTCCTACGTTTGAGGGTGTACAGTAGAATGGAGGCAGTGAATATTGCCACTAGGAAGGGAGCGAAGAAGACTGCCTCGATCAGTAGGGTGGAGACTAGTTTTAGCGAGTAGTTATCTTGAAAGTACACGAAGAACATGCAGAACCCAATCCACCTGAAAATGTATTGTTATTTTAGGAATAGTATCTTGTATCGAGTTTTTAATAATGTTGAGCTAACTTTTCAAAACACCATGCAGTATGCAGTGTATGGGTACTCGTTCAAGAAGTCAGTTTAAGTCTAGTCGACTGTATTTCTATTGTCTAGGCTCACATATCTCACACATCTCTCAGACTTAGAGCAATTACCAAGGGTTTGGTTTAAATTACTGGCGTCGTTTATTGTAGACATCTTGCACAGTGCAAGTAAAATCATTAACAATTAATAACCAATATGCATGGTACGAATACTAACTTGTAACTATTCTTGTGGCGCGCGGCGTGAGTGAGTGAGTGAGTGTGATTCGATCTAAACCATATTATTGGGAGGTCGTTCCAATAACCAAATGAGCAGCACTGATCATGAACAACAGCTGTTAGTTGTAGATTAAATTGGTGCTAGTGATCTTGGAAACCCGAGATCTTGTCCCCGAACCCCAGATCACTCGCACTTTCGCCGCCAAACTTTAAAAACCTTACTTGTGGTATCCGTATCGGGTAATTGATCCATTAGTTAGTTGACTGAAGAGGAAAGGGAGGGAGGAGTAGAAGGCTGCCATTAAGACACAGCCGCACACCATGGTGGAGAGGGCTCGCTTGTTGAGGAGTATCCGAGCTTTAATCGGCATAACTACCACTAAACACCTTGTTGGGGGACACGGGGTGAGTTAAGGGTCTCAGCTGTTTAACTCATTAAATATAACGCCACTGTCTAGTGTAGGATGTCTGGTGTAGAACACCTAGTGTAGGATGTCTGGTGTAGAAAACCTAGTGTAGGATGTCTAATGGACGTCTCACTGGCCGTGCCGGCTGTTATTTTGGGTAATAGTTTGTTCTCATCATTATAGAACTAATGAGAATCGCTAACAAAGCCTGCTATATGGAGTGACAGTAAGGACTCACCTGACTAAACAGATACATGTGGTGATAAAAGAGTTGAGCCTGTTATTGAAGTTCAGAGCAAACCCGGACACGTCACAGAAGCGCTGGTCCATGCCATTCCTCATTTGTAACAAAGTGATAACATTAGGTATCCCAGAAAGCAGTACCATCAGGATATCACTAATGCTCAGTGTCACTGCCAGTACAGTGAACGCGTTCGCACTGAAACAGAGATGTTGTTAGTTTACTGATGATATAGAACACGTTTTAATAATGTCCCAGCTAGGTTCCTAGTTCCAGCGACACTAGATTTGATAGGTACGGTATCCATGTAGATGTACAGTTTTTGCATGCCCTGTTCGAAAGTTTATGGCGATTCATGCCGTGTCTTCCTGTTTCGATGTTGTATTGAACAAGCTCGCATCAATACAACATCGAAACAGGAAGACACGGCATGAATCGCCATAAACTTTCGAATAGGATATGTAAACACTGTTCTACTACAAATGAGGAGTCACTCGACCTCCTTCTAGAGCTTCCTTTCCCTGATTTAATCATCGAAGATGAGCTTCATGTATTGATAAGCTTCATGTATTGATGAGCTTCATGTATTGCTCACTTGCCCTCTCTATGAAGATTTCCGTCACTTATGTCCCCACAAAGTAAAACATTACTCTTCTCTGATATTGGACAGATCTTCACACACCATACAACCATCGGAAACCTAGAAAGGTACCTTACCAAAGGAACGAAGATTCCCTAAAGCATCCTCTAAACGAATTCCTAATAATAACAATATTGCCTAATGTAAGACTCGGAACACTTTTAGAAGAGTTCATTTAATAGAAAAATGAAAAAAATCTCATTCTGAAGATTTGCCGGGATTATTTCTTTGTTTACTATTGTGTTTCCAATTTTATTTTCATTCTCTCGTGTATATACATACTTTTTGACTTTTGGGTAAATTTACTTTTTATATTGGGTCAGACATTTCCATTGTAATTTGACTTTTGAATCGTTTTATAGGTTTAATCGTTTAATCCGTTTAATCGTTTACGGCACTGTAAAATGTAGATGTACATTGTAGACTGTAGAATGTAGAATGTACATTGTATTTGTACGTGATAACAACTACGGGTCAAGGGATAGGTATAGAGATAGAGCACAAACGAGGCTTGCACATGCATCCTTCTCAGTCTATGTATTCTAATGTATTGTCCAGGTTAAACAGAAGGTAGCTTATTGTTAGTTTATTATACGGCCTCTACGATTTAACTTAGCCTGCTTCACCGTGACTGTTTGGGTGCAGTGTCACAAAAAGATTACATCCCAGTTTAGCTAGGGTTGGGACCAGATTTGGGTTTAACCATCTAAGACGCAGCAAAAAGGGACCTAATTGTATAAAAGGTCGTGTACTAATAATCACCTGATATAGGGTCTGTATCGTGTCAGGAGGAACAGAATGACAGCGTTACCTAGCAGCGCTTGCAGCAGACAAAGTGAGAAAAGTGCACCGAGTCCTATATCTATAGCCCAGACTGCTGGACCCTGCTCTGCGTCGTATATGCTGATGGTGGCGTTAGATGGGGGAAATTGTGTCGAGTTCATCGTGGAAATACGTGGGCTGTCTGTGTCAATCTTCGCTTTAATCCTTCCTAAATCCTACAAGAAATCAATTTAATATTCAGTATTGTGTATAGTATAGTCCGATAATATAAAGTATAGTCCGATAATATAAAGTATATAATGTATTCTTATTAACAAACACTAAACAGACAACAGTATACAAAATTTCGAGCACCGAACATGTGTCATGTATCTCTACGGGTGTTGCCTAAGATTTGTAGGCTAAAAACAGTCAATCATGAAAACTGAGTCCGATTCGAATAAAAATGATCTTTTTAGATGCACATCGAAAACTAGAGAGATGATATGATTATGACAACACCGTGTTTTCCCAAGTTATATTGGCGAAAATTTGGCCTAAATTATCTATTCTTGATGATTCTGATGAAAATTTCTGATGATTCCGTGTATAGATGTGGATTCGAACAGTTACTTACTATTAACAGGTACTTACTATTAAAGTAAACAAACATGTATCACCTCCCCACGAGAATCCACATCTATTGGAATACAAAGAGAGAATGCTCTATTCCAGGTCACGTACGGTACTAAGTGATCCCCCCTTGTATCGCAATACATGCGACTCATAAACATCCGGATATTACATTATTTAATCTTTTTGCAAAAGAAAAGACTCGTCAATAAACGTTACGCATAAACTTTAAACAAAGTAAGAATACGAATTCTCGTGAACAGTGACTGTCTCGGAAAAAATTAATATCGATGATATATATTAAAAATCTGTCTCAAAAGCTGACATACCTAGGTACTAATTAAATATTATCCGTAATAGCATCTAGTACCTCGATGAAAATGAAGTCGCATAAAAGGGCCCAAAATCGAAATCCTACCGATATTAACACGTCTGAATAATATTTTTCGGGACATTTTACATTTTAGAGGCTTCAATATAAAGCATATAGCTTTCGGGGATACACAGTTACAAGCTAAGTTATTGTCGAAGAAAACCAGTTGTTGTGGTTACAAGACAGGAAATCGCTCAATGACGCTCAAACTAGCACAAAAAAGAAGAGACTCCAAAAAAAGTTAAAAACTGCTATTGCAGCACGCAATAAGCAGTCTGAAACTTACTCTGTCACCCAAATTAATCTCAAACGCAAGTTCAATGCATGGAAAACCCTCCTTATCAACACTCACGGCCGGAGAAATCCAATCATTCTTGCAACAGAACCGTACTCTAATAACAAAAACCTAATACCACCCATCAATAAGGATCTCACCCAATATTACTACAAGGTCGGGGATAAAAGACCCCGTGCCGCTATTGTACTGCACAAAAACCTGACAGTAAAATGTTGGGAACTTACACAATTCACAACACCCGATCAAGTGGCCATTAAAATCCAACTCAGCTCGACAGAACTCATTCTGGCAGCTTCGTACATGGATATAAACGGACCGGTACCGCCACAAGAAACATCACCTCTAGCAAAATACGCAAATGATAACAACATCCCGCTCATTATAGGGTCGGACACCAATTCCCACCACACCCTTTGGGGGAACAAGGCATGCAATAAAAGGGGAGAGGAGCTTCTTGACTTTCTCTCCTCCCTAGGGCTGTCATGTGCCAACAAAGGATCATCCCCAACCTTCCTCAACTCTCGAGGCCACAACTCAATTATCGATCTCACAATAACAAACCAGTTGGGAGGAGATCTCATTAGTAACTGGCATGTTAGTGACCTTTACTCCAACTCTGACCATCGCTATATTATGTTCGATATAACTACAGGGCCAAAGAAGGAACCCAAACAGATCCGACTAGTCAAAAACACTGACTGGGACAGATTTGATGAGATCCTATCGAATAACCCCAACCTTAACAACACACAAATCAACAGTACGACTGAAATTGATCACAAAATAGACATAATCAATACTGCACTAAAGGAAGCCTTCGAGGAGGCATGCCCCATTACTTACATCTCAAGTTCCGTCCGCAAACCCCCCTGGCTAACTCAAGAAGTAGAGGAAGCACAGAGGGGAATAAGACAAAAACTGATTACTGCCCGCAAAAAGAAGACTGATGCCCTGTGGCTCGCTCTTAGAGAGAGCAACAAACAATACAACAGACTTATAACCAACTCCCAGCGTAATGCCTGGAGAACTTTTTGTCAGGAAACAGAGTCTGTTAAGGAATCCGGAAGGATGAATAAGATTCTGAAATCCTGTAACGACAACAAACATACACTAGAAGCCGTTTACAAACCAAACGGAGACATCACCAAAAATGCAGAGGAGACATTGGAGGTCATGACACGAACCCACTTCAAGGATAGTGTCACTGATCCGCCAGTGCCTCCACCTGGTCCTCTACCAATCACCACCACCTTACTCAATACCATCTACAGCCCAGACAGAATCGAGGAGGCTCTTAAATCCTTCGATCCGTTGAAAGCTGCTGGACCCGACACCCTCAAACCTATCATCATACAGAAAGCTTGGACACACATCAAAGACATCACCAGAACCATTATGACAAAAAATCATGAAACCCAACACATTCCAACTTTGTGGAAAGAATCCCTTGGAATCTTTCTCCCAAAGCCTGGAAAAACTGACTACAACCAACCAAAGTCATTTCGCACTATCACCCTTTCTCCAGTGATGTTAAAACTACAGGAGAAGGTGATACTGTGGCATATGCAACACGACCTTAATATCGCTAAAGACATCAACAAACGACAATTTGGCTTTAAGAAAGGATGTTCAACTGAAGCAGCCCTTCATAAAGTTACTCACACCATCGAGCGCAGGATAGCTAAGAAGGGATATGTCCTAGGCGTCTTTCTAGATATAGAGGGAGCTTTTGATAATGTCTCTTTCAAGGCTATTTCTGACGCTATCAAGACCACGAAAGTGGATCTGGCCACAGCACAATGGATTATCAACATGGTAACTAACAGATTCATCACATTAAATCATAAGGATAAGTCGACAAGGGTTCGGATCCGGAGAGGGTGCCCTCAAGGTGGCATCCTTTCCCCTTTCCTCTGGAACCTGGTAGTCGATGATCTCCTGGCCTACACCGCAAGAGACATACCAGGTTATCTGCAAGCTTTTGCAGACGATCTGCTCTCTCTAGCGGAGGGGAATGATTTAGACATCATCTGGAACAGAACACGCAAAACCATCAACACAATAGAAAAATGGTGCCAAACCAAAGATCTATCCATAAGCGCACTCAAAACACAAATAGTCATGTTTACCTGGAATAAGAAATGGACACTAAGACCTGTGGTGGTGGGTAACACCACTATAGGTCTATCCAAATCTGCCAAATTCCTAGGAGTGACCCTCGACAGCAAGCTCAATTTCAATGAACATATCACCAATACCACCAAAAAAGCTACGGCATCCCTTATGCAATGTAGAAGAGCTGTCGGCCCCACTTGGGGTATGAGCCCTAAAACATGCAAATGGATGTACACCGCTGTCATCAGACCTATTCTATCATACTGCTGTAGTATATGGATTAGAGCAACCCAAACAGACACCAACGCGAGGAAGTTCAAACGAGTTCAGGCATTGGCATTGAGAATGATGTCTGGTGCCATGCCTAGTACTCCCTTCATCGCACTGAACCACCTCACTAACACTCCAGATATCATACTTTTCCTGAGAGGTGAAGCAGCAAAGGGCACAGCCAGGCTTCAAGCTTATGGAAGCCTAACCCTCGAAACTATCGCCCCCAGAAAAGGTACAATCACAACTCACACCACTATCAACAAACAATTCATGGTAGATCTCAACATACCACCCAAAGCAGAGAGAGACCTATCTATACCAACCATGATGCTTGAACGACGCTTCACGGTCACCACTCCTGGAGCTGACAACATTGGATATAGAGGCTCACTCCAAAACACCATCGACAACATCCCCAGTGAAACCATCATCTGCTACACAGACGGGTCACGCACAGACTCAGGTAGCGGGGCTGGTTATATTATCACCACAGACAACAACAACACTACACTAGATGAAAGATCATTCAAGCTTCCCGATTATTGCACCGTTTATCAAACAGAACTCACTGCCATCATCGAAGCTTGTAAATATCTATCAACTTATACAAACACACACATCATCATATGGTCAGACAGTCTCTCCTCTATTCAAGCCATATCCTCACCTTCAACGAGGAGTAGGACTACTAGAGACTGTTACGACACCCTTAATACACTCGGATCCACTAACACCTTAGAGATCAGATGGATAGCTGCACACATTGGATTGTGGGGTAATGAAAAAGCAGACGAGCTGGCCAAAAATGGTACAACCAGTGAATCCACTTTGAATTGCCCAATTCCACAATCTTACATCAAACGCCTGATCAACGACAAAGTCACAAAACTTAATCAAGAATCATGGATTACTGATGGTCCCAGACACACTAAACTGACACTTGGACATAAAAACATCAACATCATCAAAAATCTCAACACTACACTCAGTAACAACAGACAAAATTATAGAACTGCAGTGCACCTCATCACGGGACATTGTGGCCTCAACAAACACCTACACACCATTCGCAAATCAGACACAAGTGCTTGTCCTAAATGCGGCGACAAAGAGGAGACTGTCTCACACTTTCTCGGACAGTGCCCGGCTATTGCCCAAATAAGAGGTCAATATTTCCGGGACTACTACCTCTCTGTCAATGACATATTCGACAACCAACACATCTCCACCATTGTCAACTTTACAAACCACACTAAACGCTTAGTGGTGCCAGAGGAGTTGGACCAGACAGGTGTAACATAGCGACTACTTTAACGCCGTCTTATTTCGCCTCTCTCTTCCACACTCAACCACTACTTAAGCGTTTATCTATGACACACCCCACAACACTTACCATCATCCTTGATTACACATCTTGATTCCACTGGCAACCTCCCACAGGACTGCCATACCCCAGAGGTAGGCAAAGCATTCATATGCTATCCTCTCGTGGGCCAACCAGGCCCAGCCTCTCTTAAAAAAAAAAGAAAAAAAAAAAGACAGGAAATTTAAAAACATGTTTATGAT